TCCCTGAAAATTCCCTAAGGATTCCCTCCAAACTCCCTTTGAAGTCCCTGGGGAATCCATGTCGGGATTCCCCAGGGAGTTTTTTCAGGGACTCCCTGGTGATTTTCCCAGGGAAAGTGGACTAGGGTATTCTGTCTTCTTGACTTTCTCTAGATGAGCCCCGGAGTTCGAATTTAGCTTACAAAAACTAATCAAATACTAAATTACTTACGACTGATTAATTTACTTTAAAGTAAGCCCAGTTTAATAAATACACACGAATATAGTAATAATCACAGATAATAAAGAACAAAGATTATAACACAAATCACACACATTGTTTTGAACTTTAGCTCTTCTCTCACACAAAAACAATAAAAAAGTTCGGCCGGTTTTACAGTACCTCGAAGATACTAGAATGAAAGAGTGAAAATAGCTAGATAGACGCAGAAGATCATGAGTATAGAATAAGAAGTGACGGTGGAAGGTCTAGTCTGCAAAAAAAGAAAGGAATCACGACAAATAATGTAGAAAGAGAGTTATATCCTGATCATACTGACTGAAACACTGATCAGACTAACTCATAGTAGCAGAGAATTACTTAGAAAAGAAAAGCTGCGCCAGAGTTTCTAGACAACATTCCTCTCTATCTTTCTCTTTTCTGTTTTTCATATGTTCAAAGATATATGTAGATATAGCTGTCATTTTAACAGTTATTATTCTTATTATCAGTACCTTTTACAAAACAAAATAAATAAGAGAGAAAATATTCAAGATTAGATTTGCAGGATAAGGGAAGCTATCAAAAATAACTGAACGTGGACGTGGACTACATTCTACGCACAGAAAAATTTGTTCTTTTCTCTCGATGTGTAGACATTTGTTTTTGCTTTTTCTCACACGAAACGATTTATTCAAATTCTTGATTTGGAAAAAAGATATAAAGAACAAAAATTAACATTAAAAAACATCTGAAACGATTTGTAAAAGAAAAACTGCATGCAAATCGTTTCAAAATAAATTGATCAACCTGTACGCACTAGTTCAGCTAGATGGAACTTTGATGTTTTCTTCTTTCTATGCATTCTACAGAGACACACATGTAAAGCAAGAAATGAAGAACAAATTTTATCGTTTTATTGAAAAGAAAGATTCCCTTCACTATTAAATTAGTGGATCTAGGAACTTCTCAAATTAAACAAGTTACAAATTTGAAGGTACCCTTCTTCAGTTTTTCTGCAGATTTAAAGTACACAACTTGTCCTCTAGCCCAAGCTACTTTTTAGAAAACAGTCTCTTTTACTTTTTAAGATATAGAGATCTCAATATCACAGACTAAAGTTAGTTCTACGGATTTCACTGTAATTTTAGAAATTGCAGAAATTTCGAACGACCAACATAACTAACTTTCTTGATCAATTTTCGGAACAGTATAGTGAGAGAAGTCCAAGTTCTACATTTATTGTTAGTTAAAGAGAAAACGTTTTGTGTGCTGATATACGAGAAAAGAATCAGAAGTAAGAATTGTGTGATCGAAGACGATAAAAAAGATGGGTATTTTCCTGTGAAAATTATTATAGCCAAATAGATAAAAATGTATGCAGATGATGCAAAATATAGAAAATATACAAAAATTTGCTAACATTTTAATCTGGGAATTTTTCAGAATCAACGCTATGATGATTTTATTAACGTTTTTCTCGAAACAAGGTTTTGGCGCCGAAAATCCTATCTTCCCCTAGACGTTTCATGGCATCAGCTTCATATTTTTATTTTAAATCTAAGACTTAAATCAGAAAATTGTTAAGATCAGATTAGATTGTGGTTCCCTTTCATTTTTTTATATGTATTTGAAGTTTTTATAGTAGACCTTTTAGTGGACAACTAGTAACTTCTGTAGGTTTCATCAAAATTGGTTTTTGAACAACAAAGTTTACCTGAAGAAGCCTCCTTAATAAAAACGGCATCTGTCAGGGACAAAAAAGAGGGTGAGTGTTTTATACGGGTAAGAACTTACTCATTTCAAATGATAAATTAAAAATTCTCTTTTCATCGACGTTAGAAGAGTCTCAGACACACATTGGTGACAGCATTAATGAAAAATATTCAAAATCTTCTAGTAGATATCCATTTTACTACGCTTTCAGCTAGTCAATGTTGCGATTAAAAACACACGCTCTATACAGAAATAAACGAGACAACAAATGGTCAAAATAAGAAGAACAAGAACAAGAACTATCACTCAAACAATCCAGAGGTCATAATTATTCCTAGTGACTTATCATATTTGCACGACTTTGTTTGTATAGAATAATAATACTATTACTACACTTTGAGAACACTTGTGACTCAGCATATAAAGAAGATGTACGATAAAAGTGATGTTTTCTGTTTTTTTCTACATCAACATCACAAACACAGAAAAGAAAAAAATATGGTAACTACGTGGGTGCTCGTAAATGGACAAAAAAGTATATGACGAACCCATGTTCGGTGTTTTTGGCAAAAAAAATATAATACACGTAGAAAAAATGCAAGTTAAGACAGAAAATATGCGAAATAATCGAACACCGATTATTCGCTTTTTAATCGAAATCGGTGTATGCCTCATCAGTGAGAAGACGTAACTTGAGTTTAAACGTCTAAAAGCAATAGTAAAGCAGCATTCATATCACTAAAAAAGCTTGTTTTTAGAGAATGTTTTTTGATCAAGCACATTTTCTGCTCTATGATTTTTAAACACAAAGTGCAATGTATATGATGTTAATATGGCCTTTTTACTGAGTAGATCTCTGATGACGAAGACGATTGACCGTTGCCAGTCGCGATAGCCGGACGTCGATGACAAACGTATCCATACACGTATCCATGTCTAGATTTGAGCATGATTCTTCGCGTTCGACGGTTTGAGTGAGAGAATTCTCCAGACACCGTCAGTTCGACAATCTCAATTGAAAAAAGAATCGGAGAACAGGTGAGAATGAGCGAGGAAACTAAGCTTGAGACTCGTATTGGCTTTGGTTTGGGTGAGATCGACATGTTTGTACATGGCGCTGAGCGCCAACGCCGTCATCCGAGCATTCAGTCCGTAAAAGTCTCGGTAAATATCGACACGGTTGAGATAGACGAAGAGCCTATCTAAAATTCGAACACCGTCGAAACCGAGATCATTCAAAGGAGTGAAATCTAGAATGCGAAGTGCAAGTAAAGATTGTCACGTGGTCTCTCTCGAACAAAAGCTGTTCATTACTGCGTCATTGCACACGTGAGTTTCTGATCACTATCGAACCAGCGGATGGTATAATTTTTCCAGTATTGAGACACCTCACTATCACTCAATTCCGGTAGATACCAGTTGTATTGATCCATCAGAATTTGTAGTTACTTCTGTGCTTGTATCTCTGATCAGAAGTACAGTTCTTTTACTCGTTTTCATTTATCATTTGTATTTGCTACTTCATTTTCGATCTGCTCAGTGTAAAACTTTCTGCCTTGCTCAACGACCGCTACCTATTACTATGTGCTTGTGCCTCACAAACGACTTAGGATTGTCTGAATTCTTAGCATACGTACCGGCAGAATCAGGTAGTGTGGAACCGGTATCACGGAACGAGCATAAAATCATATGAGACAAAGAATTTTTGTCGAATGCTTTTCTCTTGATTGATCTTTACTGAAATTTATTACTTCGTAGGAGAATAAAAAGACTAGCCCGTGTGTTTGGTGAGACAGAGAGACGAAAAAACGGGGTCAGGCATGTCTCGAACACATGAAAGCAGGTACAGTTTATGATATTGAGAGACTAAACACTGTCGGATATATTGATTCGTAAAAAACGGAAGAAATTCGGTTTTTCAGAATGCCCGATGCACCAACACGGCTATCTCAAGCGGGGTCGAAGACTGTCAAACTCCTCTATGTTAGAAAATGATTGTTTTTTCCCGATGTAAGTCGAACTTTTTTCTCACCTATTTGGTAAGAAAAATGATTAGTCCTCTCCTGCAACAAAGTAAATGTCGACCGCTCAATTCTTGCCCTTTTGCGTCACCCCGGTACACACAATTAAAATTTTTCGATAAGATGAAAGAGAAAGATGGTCAGCATCAAAACATTGACAAATCTTATTAGAATTCTTTCGCATAAAAGCTTTCTTCGTACGAAAAAATTCACATGGCGAACGAGCAGCCGCCAGAGGCTCTTTATTCATACTCCCTATGAAGCATCAACTAGGTTTCTGTTCTCTTCTCTAGTGAATCATCGCTTGTAAAAAGAAACGAAATCGCCTAAGAACGCCGAAATATCAAGCGCGAAGACTCAATTTTACTAAATTGGGCAGATGCATTCGATATTTCTTTCTTTGTGAACAGTCGTGTAATGTAAATCACTGATTTACTTTTTCAGATAAATCATCGATTACAAATGGCAGCGACTGCGACCATGACTCGCATGTCATCTTCGTTTGAATATGAGATTTTAGTCGCTCAAGTTCAAGCGATGCAAAATCAAATTGCGAGCACGGCAAATACACTCAACAATCGACTGAAAAACGACAAACAAATTCAACCCGAACTGAAACATCGTTCATTTCGCTTCATCGATCCTTATGGTAACGAAATGATGATTGATTATATGGATCATGAATATATTGATCATATATTGAAAAAATTCAAACGAGATTATATACCAAAATATTTACAGCAATGGATTCAAGTTGGTATTGGAAATCTCGATGCAATCGTACCGATTTCCGATTGTCAGATGCAATCAACTGTAGCGAACTACACATCTGATCGTCATTTTATTACCTATGGTGAAGTAACTGTTTGGTTTGGTGCTTATGAAGATTCCACGCCGGAAAGACTCCTTGTCAAAGTTTCTTTGATGGACAATATCGAGAAAATCAAAGCAGAAATTGCCAGACGACGATGTTTTACCAATCTTGAAATGAAATTGCTCATGAACAAAGAAGATACTGTTCCGAATACAATTGATTGGGACAATGGTAAAGTACTTCAACCGAACGAAACGATCATGTCCAGTCGACTCTATGAAACTAATTGTGTTATCTTGGCAAAATTTATCATCGAAAAGGTAAGTTTGATCTGTTTCCGTTCGAATTGAATCAATCGGTTTTTTACTTTTGCAGACGGCTAGCAATGACACCAGTTCGTGTTTTCAAATCTTTGTCCGAACATTAACTGGTAAAATGATTACTTTAATTGTCAGGTCATCGATGACAATCGAAGCGATCAAAGGATTGATACAAAATATGGAAGGTTATCCTCTCGAGCACCAGCGCTATATTTTTGCTGGAAAACAATTAGAAGATGGGCGAACAATTGGTGATTATAATATCCAAAAAGAAGCAACTATAAACTTGGCACTACGTTTGAGAGGTGGCATGTACCATTTTACAAGTGGTCGACAAGATTTCGGTCAGTTGCCCTATGGTGGTGCTGAAGCAGTGAAAGAAGTTCTTGCATACGAGGTGAACACGATAGATACCGAACGTCTATCATCTGTGGAATTACAAAAATCTCTTTTACAAGCACAGGCGACTGTATCGAATTTATTTCATTCAATTCAGGAAATGTATATCCCGTCGAATATTCCAAATTTAAAAAAAATTATCTCGATACCGAAAATTAAAATTGATGATCACGACGAGATGGACGATGAAGAAATGTCGAATGAACAATGACCACCAGCGATTCGAAATTATTTCTGAGTCTATCGATTATTGCAATGCGACGTACTTAAACAATTATTGATGAAAGAAGAACAAATGAGACTTAGTCCAGAAACTCAACAATTATTAGGCAATATTCAAAATCGGACAGATATTGATTGGATGGATATCATTGCGGATTTACAAACCAATCTCATTATTGAATATCACAATAAGACTTAATCATCGTAAAAATGAATATCTACATAGATGATCGATTCAATGCATTTTGGATCAATTCTAATGGAAATGAACCTTGAATTGGTTGTGCAATGTAAGACAGATGCTTTGTTGAATCGAGCACATAGAATCGAATCGGCCATGGAGCATAAATTTCACTGAATGGATTGTTTCGCGAAACTGGATCAATCAATAATGGATGTTGCTCGAATAAAATCATCAGCTATACGAATACGATCCTCGTCCGATTTCGGTTGTGTGTAACAAATACAACTACCGATTGGTCTAGAAACGGAAAGTAATTAGACAGTCGATTGGATTTTAAAATCACTAATTCTATTTACCATCCATCAGCTACATGGGCTTCTTCAATGTAAACGGTAATGATGTCTGCTCGATCATGATAGATATCCATCAATTGATTGAGTTGTGGTACGAGACCACGAAATGGTGGTCAAGTATATGAACCAGCAATAATCAAGAGTGGCCGATCAGGATGATAAGATAGTAGAGAGACACATGCACCATTCATATTCAAAATTCGATGTCTATCGCTCGATCATCCACTCTCAAAGCTCCCATTCGTGTACGATTAGGTTGAACGCAGAGAGAGAGTGTACGAAATTCATGATCATGATCATATAATTGCTGAGCAGTGCACAAAATTCTACAAAATACAAAGAAAAGTAGAAATTGATTAGTACACATGACTGGTTTAGTTTCTTGTTTTTTCAACGAATTTCTAACTTCTGTCAGTAGTCAGAGGGAATACATCAAGGTCGTCCGGAAAATGACCTTTTCCATTCTTAATTTACACCTTCGAACTTGACTGAAAATTTCATTTTTATAAGTGTAAAATTATCAAAACGTGTTTCACTGGTTTAATCTGACAGCTAAGATGACTCTTGATACCATCGTTTACTAGTGATTTTGTTAGTTTGAGGTTATATTAGATTAACTTTGCCACCAGAGTCAATATCTGATCTAGCTTTGTTAGTTTACATATGGTCAGATGCTGACTTTCTTTTCCTGCTTATAGCGTGAAGAGTCGATATTTCGGAAATCTTGAGATAGTGGTTTTACATCGCTTTAAAACTGAAAACAAGCATCATCACATTACTCAGCATGGTGAATTACTTCTGTCTTCGCCTCTTTCAGGGGGATTCAAGATCAGGTGGCACATCATCTCATGTGCTCAAGAAACAAGCAAGACGTAACTCCATCCGCGGACCCCATTTGATTTCTTCCTAGATTTTGCTACATAATTTCAGTTTTCAGTTTTAAAGCGATGTAACACCACTATCTCAAGATTTCCGAAATATCGACTCTTCAC